GCCTTATTCCCCTGAACCTGAGGGAGCCCCCAATACGGCAGCGTTGGGTAGGACCGCTCGGGAGAGGCTGCTAGAATCTCAGGGCCCGGATAGGCTGCCTAAACGAAGGACTAAGATGGCGATCTGTACTTTCAACGCACGAACGCTTGCATCCGAAGCTCACATCGAAGATCTGATGATGCAGGCCAGGAAGATCAAGTACGACGTCATCGGACTGACCGAGACGAGAAGGCACCGCCCGCTACACGCCGTTTTCGATACTGGAGAAGAACTGTTCCTTGGAACATGCGACAGCAGAGGCGTTGGCGGTGTGGGTGTCCTCGTCAACACGCACTTGGCCATAAACATCGATTCGTACGAAAGCCCATAGCTGAGCTGCCCCAAAAACTCTAGAGCTGACACGTTAACGTTTTCCAAGGACCCATCTATCGTGAAATGTGACTTCAACGAACCCCTACCTCAGCTTTTTTCAAGAACTGGTAGTCACACTAGGTGGTGACTCTTACTACGGTAGAAAGATCTTTCTAATGTTAATTATTTACAGTGTGTTTTTCAAATGTTCCTTTCAAGGGTAGTTGACGTGGCAACCTGTTGTGTAACAGAATAACTAACTTTTACACTTTTAAGGCGATCGTCCTGAAGGAAGGGGAAAGAAGAGCCTGACCATCATCAATCATCTTAGCGTTCCGCTGTGCGAAAACGAGAGGAAAAATGCTGCTGAATTAATCTAGTGATCACAGCCGCAAGAACAGCTCATGGCTGAGGAATTATAGCATGAATTAGTATATGTGTTGAAGGATGCAGTAAAAAGTATGCAACTTCGTGTGGGTTTTGATTGCTGCAACATTCATGTGTATTGTGTATACAAAAATGAAGTTTTATTATCATGATTCGTGACTTATTGTTATATGACATATGATGTGATATGTACATATGCATGCATGCATAACGCTGTCAAAATCACTGATCTTTTGCGATTACATGTGCGTGTTCTGAATTAGACTAGGGAACTTGGATGTCTGTAGTACAGATGAGTACTCCATGCTCACAAATACGACAAACAAATTCAAACTACTATAGCCCCTACTCTTCGTATATTATTCTCCATTGAGAAAACACGAATGCTTT